AGAAGACCAAAAGCTAAGTAGGCTAAAAAGGATCCTGTGAAATCTGTAGTTTCTTCTTTCATTTCACGACTTGGACGACCAAGGCTTGAAGCTGCAATCATATTAACAAGTGTATCAGATTAGAATCTAGAGTATTCTATAAGAATAATCTCAAATTTGCCATATATAACATTTAAGGTGCACCTCCTTAAGGAACAATCTCAAAATCCTCAAGATTTGTGGTTTGTGTCACTTGGCTTTGCTTCTTTCTACAAAAGAAGCAGTCTTTTTGCCCAAAATTGGCTAAAAGTTTTGTCTTCTCTCAATAGTAAGACCCTCCTTACTGCCGAGAGATGCAAGTTTTTGGCTACTTCTGTAGCAGGACCTAAACATTCCGTACGACCCACAACATATAATCACTACCAAACATGCACCAACTGTCTGCTACTATTCAATCTCGAGACAACATTGCACAAAGATGGCCAACTGGCTTCAACATTCACGGGATTCAAATAATTGATACGATTTCCTAAGCTTCACTTATTATAAATCAGGGCAACAAGTAAAGGGCATCAATGCTTTGATCAAAATCACAAATGCAAAGAGGAAAGGGTAAAAGGAAATGATACAATTGTACAAACAGTTCCTACTGATAAATAATTTGTAAGATAACCTATGAACACAACTTATGTGGTTTCAGATGAGTCAATATGTTCTGATGCTTGATACTGTAGTGAGAAATCCAGCACTATAGTTCACTTATTCGAGTTTTTCTTTGCCCAACCCTGATTTACAAATTGTTAATCTTCAAGTATCACAATAATTTCTCGGATAGGATAGAATTCATCACATTCCTAACAGATGTTCGACGTAAATAGAGGAATTTCCTTGTTGAACCCTGCCTTTCTCCTCCATAATTGCATATATCTCTTTCTATTAGTAAAAAAATCGTTCTTTAAAGGTACAGCTAAGAATGTCTGTGAATGGGATCGATCAGTAATTTAACATCATCTCTTCTCAATTCTTCTTTTCCTTTCAACTGAGAAATTAAATTTTCCATCTAAAAATAATCCACAAACAAATATATTTCTGATTGTAATTTTACTTTAAACTGATTTTAATTACATCTTTTAAAAATATATATATCGAATTGCAAACCACAATATATAATCACAAACCAGACGGAGAGAGAGAGAGAGAGAGAGGGAAAAAAAGTAACCTCTAATTTTGGGAGGATCGACTTGTTTTTTGGAAAGAGACTGAATCTGTTCATCAAGCTTTCTCAAAGCTTCACGGGCCTTATCTGGATCAACCTCGAACTCCGAGTCTTTCTCCACTGCATTCACAAAATTAAAGCCACCAATTCGTCTGATTTTCTTCAGTTCACCACTCTCCCATATTCTGAATCTACAGAAAGAGATTGATTTCTGCTGCTTATTGCTATGAAAGGAAGAGGGTGCAATTGCCGGAGGAGAAATTGAGTGATGAAGATTAAGCATTTGAAAGACCAAAGGGGAAAAACTGCTCGTGGCTTTTGATAAACCTTTCAAAAGTATTTCCAATTTTCTATATAAAAAATATCTCATTATTACCCTGTAAAGGTGGCTTTACAAAATTTCTTCTCTCCTCTTTTCCTTTTTTTCCCCTCAAAAACTAAGAAAATAATAAAAAAAAAATTTAAAAAGTTGGATAGTTTTTTGCTAGAAGTCTTTTTCTTGCTATGTGACGAATAAACAATATAAGCAAAAATAGTCAATTTTTTAAGCTTTACAAGTTACGACCTCATTTAAAGGTGGAATCTTGTTACGTGTACATCAAAATTTACATATAGGGGATGTCTGGCACAGATTTTGCCAAAAATTTCTGTTTTTCCTACCGTTATTTTCCATGGCTGGACCCCACATCTCTCACAACAAGTCCAAAATGACGGCTGAGTGCCTTTTCAACGGGTGAAAAATCACTGAAAATCCACCAGAAAATTCCCACCAGACGAGGCCATAATAAATTATATAATATCACATGACATTTTATCATTTACCAATTTAAAGGAAAGCGAGACAAACGAGCAAGCAGAGGTGGTGCAGTGCACCTCACAAATAGACGTTATCTCCAAAGGGTCGTTTCAAACCACTCTTGACTTGAGACGACCATTTTGTTTAGGCTTATAGTTTTCTTAAAATTACTTTAGTACAACATGGGCCTAAGAATACAATTATTTTTATAGAGATTTGCATGGATTCATAATTTTTTTTGTGCAAGGCATGTGAGGGTCGCCGCAGCTCTACTACATGACTAAAGAAACTAACCACCGACAAGGAGCAAAGCCCATATTTGGTAAAGATTTTCACAACTTATTTTTTTCAAACTCGTTTTCAATTATACATTCTTCCAATAAAATAATTTTGTACATAGACTCGTAACTTTTTCCCACTTCTTAATCACAAAAAAAAAAAAAAATTAACTTTCACAAAATTTATTCTCAAAAAATCTACGTCTAACATATTGGGCAGCACAGACATAGGCGGTCCAAAAATATATGTAGAAGACATCAACATTTCTTAGGATAATCCACACAAAAGCCAAATTTTCAAATTCGAAATTTCAGAAAATGTAACTAGAAGAAACATGACAATGACAGTACCGACTTTACATAGTTCTAGCAACATAGACGATGCTTTACTCATAAAACATTCGACATCCTACTCAAACTTCTAATCCTACGACATTTTGCACACGAGAAGAGCAACGGTGGCATTAGAAACCAACCCTCAACGAGCTAAAAGAAACAGCCAAGAATGAATTGCCGACCGGCTTGGTAAAGCCAAGATCTGCGAAATCAGGATTTATAACCTTCCTCAAGTTGGATAAACCACTTTCTTTAAACAGGCAGTATGCA